CACACACACACACACACACACACACACACACACACACACACACACACACACACACACACACACACACACACACACTTTCTCCGACATACCCTCTAATAAAGTGACATTTTCTAGGAATCTAATTGTTGTTGGGCTACTGATGTTGGAGCAATGACCTCTCCTTCCATTTGGGAGATCATCACCCAGTTAATTAGCGATTTATACATCACCTCCTCACCTCTTCCCCCTGAAAACGCCGGCAATTAGGATTCCAGAAATGACACCAGAGAAAGTGGGGGATACTCAGGACTCCAGTAATGTATACACATTTTTAATAAGCTTCTCTATTTCAGTCTCTTTGATGGAGGCAGAGCACACACACACACAAAAAAGACAGAGACACTGGCATCTCTGTGCTGGATCACTGTGCTTTCCAAAGTAGATGGCATGTGGGTGGAAGAAAGAAAGGAGCCTCCTCCTTTGTCTCCCTCTGACAGGGGTAAAGGAGCAATGGGGATTACATGAAAAGGCTCTGATGCAGACACCTGTGCACACAGAGGGAGACTGTGTTGTGTGTGCATGTCTGAGTGTGTCTATGTGTCTATCTTGCCTGTTTTCTGTGGCCCAACAACCAGGAATTTAGGTAACCTGTCACAGGTTTTCTCTTTAGACCAGATGTCTTTGTGCCGTTTGTCATCACATGGGTTCTGCAAAGATGTGGAAAAAGAGGGATTAGAGGTTAAAGGAGTTGGGTACATATAGACAAAGAGTAAGCTCAGAACTGTGCACCATTAAGGAGTCACCACAACAAATCAAAGGGGTATGGTTTGTTTCAAGAATAAAGCCCCAAGCCTAAAAAAATGCTTTGAAGACTCTACAAATCATAGATGATTCTTAAAAAAGAATACAAAAAGTCAACAAGCAATAAGACACTTTCACAGTAAAATTGTTTCCCTTTTGTGCAAAAAAGTAAAATGGATAGTTTAGACAGTTGAGGTGGATTTTCTTTTTTTTTTCTTTTTTTTTTTAAAGTGACACGCTCACGGTTAATTCAAATAAGGCCCAGGCCAACGTGGATTGCTGCTATTTTTAAAAAGTCTCAATTTCCAAAAACCTAAAAGCTGATGATGAAAATGCTATAAAAAACCTTCAGTGTTACTAGGTTGAGACTATTGCAGACCAGATGGAGACTCAAGATTGCAAGAAAATATACAAATAAGTGTTCGCAAATAAGCCACCAATGAACAGTGGCTGTTGGAGAAGAACATGTTTTAAATGTGGCCTGTTTCTGYGAGCACAGTTCACAAAACTACATTTTAGACTTTGCACGTTTTTACAACCCAACTCTGCCCACATTGCATCTGCCTTAGCCCTCTTTGTGCCCACCTTGGCACCTACCTGCACATTCACACTTTGGAAATGAAATTATGCAGTTTCCTAATGAATCTTATTCATCATTGCTGCTGGAAATTCAGAGTTGTACCCTTGAATGGTTTCTGTCAGAGGAGAGCTCMGGTGCAAGTGTCAATATACAGTATRCAGATATCTATGGATATTTGCATGTACAAATAGCAGCAGTTGCAGCTAGCTGCAGCAATACCAGTGCATCATTGATCATCATGTTATTTCTGCAGAAATTGGGAAATGCAAAACTGTTAGAGATGCTTAAATAAAAACACCACTCTGACATACGACTCGCTCAGATTAATCGTTCTTGTCAATCCAATATTAAACCCTGTTTCTCCAATCTGTTAAAAGATCTACCTACAACAAGTAAGATGATGATTATTCATTACAAACAAAATTTGAGGCAAAAATGCGTTAAGAAGAATAAGCAAACAGGCACACAAGACCCTACATGTGCAAAAGCACACACCTGCCAGAGTGGGTTCCTTTGTTCAGGAAACAGCTGAAAATACTTGTGTGCGAGCTGGAGTGGCGGGAGCGTGTGGAGCCTCAGGTTCGTCCAAGAGCGAAGGAAGGAGGCCAGGTGGACAAACGTGTACAGACCGAGTCGATCGTTGCCGTAGTTTGAAAGGTGAGTCATGAATATACTTATCTGGAGGGGAAGAGAGGAAAACAGACAGATTTGAGGGAGGATGAAAAGTAACTTGTGTGCTTTTAGTGTTTTTGCAAAGCAAACGTGATAAAAACCAAAACCTCAGCTCCCCAAGTCCTCATGTTTGCTGGTCTGATTTTAGTTAAAAGCACACAAACGCAGCTATCCAATGGGGTATCAATACACACTATCAGTCACTTTTGTTAGGTGAGATTACACATTAACTTTCAGCACAACGCACTTTCAAGTACACACAAAAAAAACTTGGTAAACAGATAAAATGGAAGTGATGTATTCAGAGCTGCTGCTAGATAAAGCTGAGGAGGCAGCACAAGGCTCCTCAGAGGCACCGGGAGATGGGAGAGATGCGGATACACACGGGACAGTGTGTCAGGGTGTGTTTGTGGCGGGGTTGATGTGTGTGAGGAGGAAGGAGACACTCGGAGTAAAGCGGAGGAGCGATAGTGTGTCGGTGCGGGCTATCTGTCCACGCCTCAGTGCTTTTATAGGCTGATCAAAGAGACAAGCCAAGATAGCTGCTGCTGCACACACACGCACACACACACACACACACACACACACACACACACACACACACACACACAAAATGGTTAAATCTCAGTTTGAGTTTAAATTATTATGTTGGATTAACATCCATTAAAATAAAGGTTTGCAGATCATCTGAGTCTGGACTGGAAGCTTCAGTCGTCCACACGGTGGAGACAAGTGTCCTCTGGAGGAATAAATGATGGTTTGACTGAGACAAGAGGGACGTCTCATCAAAATGAGACTTTCACTGAAGCAGCTAATAAACACGGTGGTGGCAGCATCATGCTGTGGGACAACATGAAGGATGAGGACTAACCAACAAATTCTATAAATCAGCAGCTGGGTCCAAACACACATCAGAACTAGACTTCCTGTTACTCTAAACACTATAGTGTTGTTTCATGTTTTCATGTTGTCTCTGGTTTGGTCTCTTTTTTGTTTCAAATGTGGTCATTTTATCCTTTATCCAGTTTTACTTTCTTATTGAGCCCGAAAGGGGACATAGGGAAAAGATAAATAAAAACAGGATCCTGAGAAATAAGTCAGGATCCTGAGAAATAAGTCAGGATCCTGAGAAATAAGTCGGGATCCTGAGAAATAAGTCGGGATCCTGAGAAATAAGTCGGGATCCTGAGAAATAAAGTCAGGATCCTGAGAAATAAAGTCAGGATCCTGAGAAATAAAGTCGGGATCCTGAGAAAGAAAGTCGGGATCCTGAGAAATAAAGTCGGGATCCTGAGAAAGAAAGTCGGGATCCTGAGAAAGAAAGTCGGGATCCTGAGAAATAAAGTCAGGATCCTGAGAAAGAAAGTCGGGATCCTGAGAAATAAAGTCAGGATCCTGAGAAATAAAGTCAGGATCCTGAGAAATAAAGTCAGGATCCTGAGAAATAAGTCAGGATCCTGAGAAAGAAAGTCGGGATCCTGAGAAAGAAAGTCAGGATCCTGAGAAAGAAAGTCAGGATCCTGAGAAATAAAGTCAGGATCCTGAGAAAGAAAGTTTGGATCCTGAGAAAGAAAGTCTGGATCCTGAGAAAGAAAGTTTGGATCCTGAGAAAGAAAGTTTGGATCCTGAGAAAGAAAGTCTGGATCCTGAGAAAGAAAGTTTGGATCCTGAGAAAGAAAGT